GCTGGAAAGAAATCTGATTGTGAAACTGATAAATTGTCTCACATAGTTTCCCTATTTTGGCCATTGCCATGGTCTGGTTCGGAAAGTGCTTGGAATCCTCCTTCCCTCGCTTTGTTTTAACAAGCGCGCTCAGGGTTGCCCATTGCCAGGACTGCGCTACCTACAGCGCACATAAGCTCCCTGTCTATCTCATATCCTACGTTGCCTCCAAGCAGCCGCAGCGTAAAAGCAGATGAGACGATTTATTTTTATCATCCCCTTTTTTTTCTTTTCTCGTGAGAAAGAGAACTTCTTGAGGCTGCCCTTTGCGTTGGCTTCCTCGTAGCAAAGTCATTTACATGTTGGCAAACTGGATGTATAAAATGCTGCTGAATCAAATCTGCAAAGCATTTCACCTTTATTTTGCAGTCACCGTGACAGATCCTTTGCTGGTGGGAATAGGAGCAGTCTCGGTGACTGGAGTTTTCCTTCTTTGCACGAAGAGGGAATTGGCTCAACCTGTGCAGGTGTCAAGCAGGCGCACAGATGACAGACACCAGAGATCAGGCCCTGCGATTTCAGGTCTGATTTGGGTAGTTTGCAGTTCTGCACACTTCAGGGAGACACTTGACATGTTAAAACTTGCTGTGAGCCTTTGATATCTTTGACCTTTAAAAAAACTTTTAAATTTTGATATTCTTTAAGAAGACAGATGGTATTTTTTGATGGAATAGATAGGGATTTCATGTCTAAACATATTTCTTGGTTTCCCTTTGTTGCACTAGTTAACTATTCCATGCTTCTCACGATCTTTTCTTATAATTTGTTTCTGGATGATAATAGCAAAAGGTTATGATGAATTAAATCTCTGTGGAAACATTAGGAATTGAGTCCTGCTAGCTTCTCTGGAACCAAATGCGGATATTCATGGACACACAGCCTACCTGCAGCAATATATCCAAGTGAAAAATTGTCCTTGAGACCTCCTGGCCACAAGTGACCAGACCTCACCACCATAGGAAAAAGAATTCCCCATTGGAAATAGAGAGGAAAAGTTGTGAAAAAAATGCTGATTCTGAAAGGTTTTCCCTGTGAAGAAGGTGAGAACGAGCCTCCAAACAGCAGTGCTGTTGCAGGAAGCACTGGCTGCCCCCAGTGCTCCTCTCTGAGCTGCAGCCATGTGAAACTGCTGCTGAAATAGCCGGTCTGATGCCCCATGTTCTTCTTTCATCACCCGAGTAAGTCCTCTGGAAACATGGCAAGTGCTGCGTTTTCACTTGAACAAAATAAGGAAATCCCTGTTTTGCAGCTTTCAATACAGCACAATAATAAAAACCTTGGCACGAAATGAAGCCCTGTGGCGCACAGCGTTGCTAGCCCGGTCGGTGCTGGAGGTTACACGGCTGGGAGAAGGCAAAGGTGGCGGTTGCTGGTGGTCTTGGTGGTGCTCCTCACGGAGAGGAAATGCAGTCATGGGAGCTGAGCACCGGCTGAAGCCTCCCTAGTGATTTCAGGCTTTCTGTTTACATTGTAGTAAGACCTGCTTGTGCTTGACAAGATTTTGGTTGGCAGGAATGTGTGTGTGTGTCCAAGTGTGATCGTTCATATGTAACATACCCTTCAAGCAACAAATACACTTGTCTATGTTAGCAGAAGGCTTGGAGAGCATGACTGGAGAGCTTTCTTTATGGTGGGATGGGTTCAACATTGTAAATGTAAGGATTTTTTTCTTGCATAACAGCCAGAGGATTGTTTTCAGTGACTTTAAAATATAAACAGGTGAATGGTGCAGGATATAAGAAAGCAGATAGGCTGTATTTTTGATCCTGGTTATATTGTTTGCTCTTTTGGTGAGCACCACTGATTTTCCTTAACTTATGCAGTAAATATTTAACACCTTAGTTGTTTTCTCTGCTTGGTACAGACCCAGGAGAATTGGTGAACTGAATATGGAGCACAAGACATTTATTGGGGAAAGAAAAAATGTTTGCTTAATGTAATTTCAGATTTTGGCCAGATTAAGAACAAATATTTCAAATTTTTGATGTATTTTGTTATGTTGATTCTTGGAACTTTTTTTTTGCAGTTATTTTGGACATTGCAAATAAAGGCAATACAAAAAAAATCAAAGTAGATTCTAGGTTTCATCTGAACTAAATCAAAATCCAGATTTCATATGAGGGCCTTAAGCATTTGGTTCATTAGGAGATGATAATTTCTAGCAGGGTGGCTTTCTTTGGTGGCATTCTCAGCATCCCAGCTTTTGGCTGCCAGACTGTAGGTTGAGAAACTTCGAGGCTGCAAGCTGATCTGTATCATCAGAGATCTGAGTCTGTTTAATGAAGCTCAAATTAGCATCCAAAAGCAGAAACACTCCAACTCATTAAGCACTGCAAGAGATCTAGGCCTAATCATATAAATTAAGAACAGTTCCATAATAGAAAAGAAGCCTGACTGTGTTTCCAGAGGCAGCCGTGAGGTTCTTGGTCATTTATATTTCGGGATCGACACTGTGCCCTTGTTTCTCTTTGGAAATGTACATCAGGGTCACCGTGAGCTTGCATGTAGGCATGTTTATATGCGTTGTAGGCTAATTTTTGATGATTTTTTCAGACCTTTTGATGAATTTTTGAGATCTTTTCAAAGGTCTCTTAAAAAATCCAGGGCTTGGTCTAATAAGATGAAGACTGTTGACGGGTAGCAGATATTAGTGTAAATCTGCTGTTGCTGAAAATAGACTTTTGAAGGTTTTAATCTATGAGTTTTAAAGTTAATCTGAGTTTTTGATTAAAGTAAAAGGGATATAAATGAGATATAAAACATTTTGGAGAAGGGTGCAGGGCTATGCATAATTTATTGGGTACTCTTTGTACAGTCAATTGTTAAGTTATAAATAAAATACAACCTTAAAACAAAGATTTGCTGACATTGTGGGTAGTTATTTCCTCTGTATTTCTATTCCAAAAAAAGTTTCCAAGTTTGAACAAACAGTCACATTTTGGTCTGGTTATTGATATTCACAGTGTCGTTTCTATTTTTGGACCTATCACATTGAAGACTTTATTCTGCGCCACAGAGAATGCCTTTTCCTCCAGTAAATGTTCCATAGGCTGCAGAGCTCCTCTTGAAGCCCTGCGAGGTGCCTTGGCGCAGCAAGGGGGAACTCACAGGGAGGCCAGTGAGGTTCTGTGATACCAATTTGTCTGGCCCCAGAGATCCTGAGGAGCTCTTGGACTTGCCTTGTTGATGTGAGGTCCCTCGGTGACTCTGCTCGCTCAGGAGTTAACGTCGTGGCTCTTTCCTCCATCACAGCTGAACCTCTAGGTTAAAAGCTCTTGAGTGTTGGCACAGGAAGCAGCTCATGCTTGCTCTCTGCCAACCAAGAACTCCCTCAAACTGGATGCATTCTGAACCCCTGTAGGCTTGTTTAAAATGAGCTTATGGGATACAAGAATGCAGCCTGCATGCTATAATCTATAGAGGTCTTTGCATCGCTGCTGAGGATGAGGCAGGAAAGAGGTGTCTAAAAAGCTCACAGAGCTTCTACAGCAGTCATGGAGATGCTTTCTGAGCGTAGGTAGGGATAACCCATGGTGAGCCTGATCAAACAGTGGAAGCAAAACATACTGTCCTAATACAAGTCTTATAAATGTTGCTCGCAAGTCCTCTGGAGCAGCTGAAATTGCCTGGTTTCAAAACCTCTGGTTCTTCTCCACATGGTCCTGACACTGAGCTGCATTACTACATCTCATCCCCAGGAGCAGCAACTTTTTGGCTGCTTAAGAGGAAAAGACCCAACCAGTTTGAGCATATGAGTGAAGCCTTTCCCAGCACTGAGCCTGAGCGAGCTGTGGAACAACTGAGCAGGAAATAAGCTAATAAAGGGATTTGAGAATATGCATTTCCCATATAAGGCGCTGTAACATGGGCTTGTTGCTGATCTCCTGGTTATTTTGGTGGAAAACTTTAGATTCCATCACTTTTTGAACTCGCTTGTGATCACAAGGAATTTACTGCAACTGACGTCCACGACTGCAGCATTTCACCTTGCTCGTGTCAAAGGCAACCCAAGAATGGACCGGTCCTAGAGCAGATCAGGGAAGAGACTAGTTCTGCTTCTCCCTTTAGCCCCGAGCCCCGATGCAGAGGAAGGGGGAGAGAGGTGGGAGAGGCAGCTCAGCGCGGCGCCTGCTTCTCCAAACCAGCTCCCCCAAAGCCGGCGTGGGGAGAGGAAGCCCTGGCTCCACAGAGCCTGCTGTCTCCCTCAATAAACAAAGCTCTGGATTTGGGCACGTTGCCCAAAGTGTTGGTGCACGGTGCCTTCTCGCCCTTGCTGCTCTGCCTGGCCTTTTAAGGCTATGTGACAGTTTGCTTAAGAGCATGGTAAGGTGTGTAATTCAGCAATGATTAACGAGCACGGGGCTGCTCCAGAGCTTCAGTGTTTCTGTAGCATCGGTCGAATTCCCTTCTCAGCAGTAACTCCCTAAAGTCTGACATGGATTTTCGGAGCTTGGCCTCCCAACCTCTGCACTGTAAGTGTCACCTCTTGCTGGCTCTTACTCTACATGAATTTAGAGCCGTCCACCTTTCCAAGAGTGCTCTGCACTGTGGAACTGGTTTTGCTTGTAAATGTGAGGCCAGATGTTCAGAAGAGCAGAGCTCCCGTTTAGGCATCCAGCAATTACTGCTGTGACACACGCTGGTTGCATCTGAAAATCTGAAAGCTGCCTGTTTAGACAATGAAATATTCAGGCTGGCTAGTTCGTGCACTGCTATAAGAAGTGGCCTATATGCATATAATTCAGGAGTTCGTTCAAAATAGCATGCACTGAATCACTGTCTCAGTTTTAAACCACACATTGTGCCATACTAGTTATTTTGATTTTGTGCCAAGCAGTTACAACTAACATTTTCTTTTCTTCTTCTGTAAAATCTGTTAATGAAGGCTTAATGAAGCAATGAATGCAGGTCTAAAAAATAAATCTGATTCATTAACAGATGCCTTTTGTTTTCTTTTCCAGTGACATATTTGATGCCATGTTCCCCGTTACACACATTGCAGGAGAAACAGTCATACAACAGGGTAATTTTTCCTCTTTTTTTTTTTAAACTTGCATGTTTGCTAAGACTGTGCAATTCACGTCTGAGATTTATCCTCTTTGCTTAACAAGAAGAATGATCACATTCCAAAAGCCTGTAAGTGTTAATGCTGTATCAAAAGTCCATTGATGCAAGGCATGTCTTTTGTAGTGCTACAATTAGCCAAATTCTGATATTTAAAAACTTTCATTTCTTAAGTTAAACTACTCAGCAAGTAAAGCACAGTTCAGAATGAGCAAGAGTGGCCCAGCCTCCCTGGGAGTAATTAGAGATGGAAAATATTTCTGTGGTTGTCGGGAATATTCAGCACCTCATTGTGCTGTATCATAGTTATCACACTTGGCAACTTACCTGCATGCCTGCAGCATGTTGTGGAGGACTTCGTTATCCTCAGGATATACTGAAGCCTCCTGTGTGATTACGCTGAACCAAGTGCTGAATCAATCAAAAGAGAGAAATTAATGCAATCAAGAGATAGTAGTAGGAAGAAATCATAGTGATATTTTGATTTATGAAGGAAAATAAGCAAGGACATTTAAGAAAATGAATCCCTTTTTAACTAATCAAGTGTGCAAACCTGTGCAAATATGTACAGAATTAAATATGGAGACGGGAAATTACATTTTAGCAGACCCTCAGGAAACAATCATCACTTATATTTTGCTTCTAGGTGACGAAGGAGACAACTTCTATGTGATTGACCAAGGCGAGGTGGATGTAAGTATTTATTAGCTTCATTTGGAAACATGCACTTGTCTTTTAAAATGTATACTTTTACAATCCGGTATTTATTCTGAGTCTACATGGTACTGGCATACAGCTTGATCCAGCAATATTCTACGGTTGGGCTTCTATTGTTCTTGACACAGATTTAACAGGGTTGGTCTCATTAGTTGGTTTTTGTTGTGTTAAGTCACTTGTGCATAGTTTTATACTTGGCATGTTTGACATCCTAGCTTATTTGTCCATCCCAAGCAGGAAGATATGGTATCAAAACCAAGCAAATGACATTATCTTTAGAAGCCCAACCACACGTGAAGGTGTGCAGTCTTTGGCAGAGGAGGCCACCATGCTGGAATGCACCTGAGGGTTCAGATGAACCATAAGGAAAATATTTTCTTTAATCAGCCGGCTTAGCGCATGTGCATTTTTTTTTCAAATTGAGATACAGCCTCAGGCAGCTAGTTTCATCTTAGAAACCTTAATTTGCTTTTAAAATTATGTCCACGTATACGAACAATGCAACATATTAAGAAAGCGGGGATTATTGTAAGTATAAGGTGCACCGTAAGACCACAAAATGTTTACAAGAGTTTGCAGTGGTTTAATCAGCAAGTCTTTGAAACAAAGCTTCCTTCTGAACCTGCCCTCGCCATCCTAATTTATTCACATCTTATTTGTATGGAGCTGACCCTTTTGCAGCTTTCTGTGGTGCTCATTTGAATGAATCCTCTAGAAACTGTTTCTTATGCATCCACAGCTGTCAGGTAGGATGGGCTTGCTGATTAGCAGTGCTGGCATTCAGACACCCAGATGCGTTTTGTTTGGAGTATTTAAAGAATAAAGTGATTTATTTTAAGACCAACAGGAGGCATATGGTTATTTTAGTGAAAGTTGGTTTTTTTTTTAGAAGTCTGTTTGTGTCAGGAGACTGTCTAATTGGTATTGTTGGGATTTGAGAAACCTCACTCGCTGCCTCTGCTTCTGGAAGTTGCTTCTCAGGAAATCCGTCTGACTCATGGTTCCTATCAGGCATACCTCGCGCTAGCAAACATTGCCACATCGGCTCTGCCAGAAAATAAAAGGGCAGTATTTATAGAACAGTGCTAAAATTTAGCCTTAAAGTAATTTGTCTGAGCTTGGTGCTGCGTTTAATGACTTCATTGGCTTTGAATCAGATCCGCATACGCAAATGCACATATTGAAGTTATAGATTAATCCTATTTAAAAATAATCTGTTCTTGCTTGGGACCTTTAGGAAAGTGTTCTTTAGAGTTTGTCTCAGGGATGGAGTGCAAATGACACCAGAAAATGGTCTAGAAAGACCATTTCAAAGATTCAAATTCTTTTGTAAATAATTGTGAACACAGATCAATGAAGAAGAGACATCCATCCAGATCATTTTTCATTGATGGTCTCTTTAGTCCATGGAAGTCTTATTCAGAATATTTTTTTATGTGGTTCCCAGAAATCTTTCAAATGCCTTGGAGGCCTTTGGGATAGAATTTAGGATAAATTTAAAAAAAAATGCTACAGTGGCCTAAGTCCTACTGCAGAGCAGTTACATGTATGCTCTGAAGTTGCGGAGATATTTTCGAAAATTTTATCTTAAGCCTCTGGTTTGACAGGGTACCTAAGCACTGGTCTGCCCTTAAGCACCTGAATAATTCTGTTGGCTTCAGTGGGACTCATATGTGTAAAACTGACTGATCTTATGAGTCTTTCCTGAACAGACACAAGCTCACTCGCTGTTTTGATGAAGATCAAAGTGCACAGCTTTGTTTTACACTTTGTTAGAGTTGAAGGCAGATTTTTTCTTTGTTTAGCTCGCAGTTCTCCAGTCAGTCATTTTTGGTACAGGCTGTTTTGCAGCCCTGCCTCTTAGGCATCTTTCCTGCCTACTCTGAGGTTTTCAACAGCAGATTTTCTACGGAGTAAGTGAAGCTGTTTATAATGAAATAACTGTGATTCTTTGAGTTAGATCATTAAATTCACACAAGCATCCTCAACCCCAGTTTCCCTAGTAGCCAAAAGCAGCTTGGAAAATGGTCAGAATGGATGGACAGTGATAATGTCATCCTGATGCTTCCCAGGGTTGTGTACAGGAGCTTCCCAGCCATGGGCTCTGGGACAAATACATCCAACCAGGGCTTAGGAGATGCCGTTTTGATAGAGCGTACTCCAGTGACAGCCAAACCTCCCGAGCCCACAAGTCTGCCTGTGACCAGCTCCCCTAAGCCGCATCTGACCCCTCTTCCCACTCACTTGCACCTCACTGCTCTTGTCTCTGGATACCCTCTCCTCCCTAAGCCTGTCCTGCATCCTCATCCCAAACCACACTGAATTCCCAGTGCTGCTTCCCCCTTCCTGCACGAAGTCCATACCAGGGCACTCGGTGCCACAGCTCATGCCCCTGTGTGAAGCAGCATCTTCCACATCCCATAGGTGTGCACACTAAATATAGTGCTCCCCAGAACACTTTTTCCCCACTTTCTGAGCAGCAGTGCTAAAATCCCTCTTGTCCGAAGAAAACCCAGACTGCTAGTAAGCGAGCTGCAGTTCATTTAAGCCTTGCCAGATACTTTCTTGGCATTCTTCCACACTTCTCCAAGAAAAAGAGCTACTTGGAGAGTAGACAATTGACCCCGAGACTTCAAGCCTCAAGCCATTTTCTGCCTAGTTCAGTTGGTGTTGGCATGTGCACCGAGGCCTTTTAACCCCTGGCCACACCACTTACTTGCATCATTTCCATGATCTGCACAGAAGTGGCAGGTAGAACAGCACTGTGAATTTAAGGAGCAGTTTACTCTGGGGACTGATAAACCACCAGCTTTTCCATAGGCTTGCATAAATGAACATGGAGATGGTGATTGCCATCATAAAATTTCCATCCCCTGGAAGGAAGTCAGGGCAGAACAAAAAAGAAAAAAAAAAGAAATCCATCAAACAAGCAATTGAAAACAATTAAATCAAAACCAAAATCAGAATAGCAAAAGTAGCATGTGGCGTTTTAAGTAAAAAGCAAAACCAAACCACACATTTAATCACATGTTATTTAGAGTATTAGAGTGTTTAGAGAATTAGAATGGATGACCCAAAATCATGCAAGAGGTTTCTCATGAGAGAGAGGTCTCCCTTAGAAATAATGTGTCAAATTTAGAGTACAGTTCAATAACATATTCTTAACTATGATAACATTTTATCTTCAGCATTCTCACTTGGTTAGGGTATGAATAAGCACTTTTAGTACATCCATAATATAAAGTACATTTACCAGTTACTACGGCAGACAGCCAGTAAGATACAACACCACTCGCTTGACAAGCACTGCCCAGCTCACCATGAACCCCAGGCTAAGGGAGAAAAGCACAGATTTTTGTATGAAAAGGACAGATTTTTAATATCCCTTGCTCTGACCAGCACGATGATTTGCAAGCATACAGCAACTGAGGGGGGAAGTCAGTCTGGGTGGACGGACATCCATAGAGGTGCTGGGAACCATTTTACCTGGCTTTAAAGAAACTGAAGTGTCCTTAAAGAAAGCAGAAGCTGCAGGAGCTGGCCAAGAAAAGGGGTTCTAGACTGTGGGCTGTTATTTTCAGAGACTCCCTTTAGGGCAGCTTGTCACCTGCCTTGTGTGGCCCCTCAGCTGAGAGAGGAGCAAGCCCTGACCCTCCTACTGGGCCTGACTCCCCAGGACACTGTTAGTAAGGAGGACATCAGCAAGAGGTAGGTCTGAGAGCAACCTGAGGTTGTTCCTCACACACGTTGGCTACCACACGCCACGTATGGTTCAGTCCTTGGCCAAGCATGGGCCTGGAAGGGAGCTTAAGGCACTGTCAGTTCCAGTCTTCTTCCTCCTTCACTGCTTCAGGGCAGCACCATAACAGATCATCGCTTGCTGGAGGAGAATCTCCAGCATGTGGGTAAAGTTTATACTAGGTAGATCATGGCTTGAGGTTTTATAGCTCAGAGGTCAATTGCCTACCGGAAGCTTTTCTGCTTAGAGAAATGGGAATGGATGCCAAAAAGTATCTGGCAAAGCTTAAATTATAGTTTCCAGTAAAGATGTTGAAAGTACCTGCTAAAGTATGTGTCTTGCAAAAATCTCTAATCCATATTTCTAAATATAAAAATAACTTCCTGTTTATTATTTTAATCTTTTAACCTCACATTTTTTACTTTGAAAAGGAGTGTCCACCATCCTTTTAAAATAGCCTTTTTTTTTTTTAGGCTCAGAAACTCCCTATTCTATTTAATATCACAGCACCTATTTCTGCAGACATTTTCAGATTTCCTTCTTATAAAACAATAGCAACCAAAATATAGAGTACTGAAAATCAAAATTAAAACTTTTCAGGATTTTTTCTCTTAAATAACTTATGTGTTTACTGTATTGAGTTATATTTGGAGCTATAAGTCAATTTTGTGGAGAAGAGATTATCCTCTGATTGTAGGTCAAACCTCTTTGAAGCCCTTAATTGTATATACAGATTGTCTAGATTATATAAACAAAATAAATATTATGTAGTGGCTTATGTGAGAATAATGCTGGATTTTGAAACTAATTACATTTTAGTGTTCACTGTTAGTTTCCATAGGTAACTTTTTGTTTGAATTCCCCCATTATTAATTTCTTCCTGGTTGATAGCTTCCTAATTTCAGAAGGATGCTTTTGGAAATTTTAAATGGAAATTTTAAATCTTTTTTTCATACTAGGATTTTTAAGGATTCTCAATACAAGATACAAGTTTATATTATGAAAATACTGACTGTATTTGAGAAAGTTACCCACAGATAAATACCTTTCATATCTAAGACTTGCTTATTTTTCCAAGAAGAAATGGATCTCATCTTCATTTTGGGAGAGCAAATATTAAGACTTGACAAGACACAAATCACAAATTGCTACAAACAGATCCCAGGGAACGAGGAGATTTAAGATCTGAAAGTTGCAATGCCTGGAACAAATTATATTGTCTGTGTACATCACAAAGTGGCAGCAAAAAATGCTGAAAGTTAACTTGAAAACAGCAATACAAAATTAAAGACTCAGTAGTAAAAGTAAATTCATTCCTATGAAACTCACAGTTTTATGATCATATCCTGCTTGCAAACTAAATTAATATATTACTGTTAATGGTAAGATTACATTTTGCTTCTCTAGACAACATGAAGATGAATGAGGCCAAGGCACATTCCTAGTGCATTGAGCACTGGGTGACTCATTGCATTTTCTCTCACAATTAGCACATATGTATATCACAGCCTTTGAAGAAAGGAATTGCTGATGTCTGTAGATTTTTCCCACTTGCCGCCTTGAAAAAATAACAACGTGAACAAAGTTGTGTGATTTTTAAGCCCACAAAAAATGCAGGGCTCGTACTAAATGATGGAAGACAATGGAAATCTAGAATACTTCTGGTCTGTGGAAAGTAGCAGGTTCTGGTTGCTTTATTCTTTGGATTTGGGGATTGGCAGCTTTATAAAAGAAGAGGGATCCAGGTATCGTGCAGCTGTGATCAGCAGTTCAAGTCACAACCAGGAATAAAACACTTGTATATTGGCAACTTTGGTTACAGTTCATGGGTGCTAAAACTGCACAAGCCAAGCCCAGCATTTTGGGGGCTAAAGAAGGAGATCTTCCAAGCTGCTAACATGTAACATTGGTTTTTATAAGCTGCTCTTAGATTAAAATAGCTTTGCTTCCCACACCTGGAGATACTTTCCATTCTCTTTTAAAAAAAAAAAAAAGTTTTAAAACAAATCACAGTGAGACTGAACTCTTCGCTAAAGGGCAGAATGCAATATATCATCAATGCAATTTAACATCATCATGGAGACAAAAGTTTGTTGTTGACTTGGGTCATTCCAGAGAACAAAATACAATGGCTTTCCTCTTAACCTAAGAATAGCTTTTTTTTTTTTTTTTTTTTTTTGGTCTTTTGGAGATTGATATTTTAAATGGCATTTTTATTGGGGCAGTGAATGCTGCCTCCAAGGACTGTCACATCAACAATTTGATTTCACTTCAGAGAATTTTAAACCTGACACACCTGGGGTGGGAGAAGGAGCATTTGCATAAACTGTTTACAGGCTACATGTCAAACATGTTTGGGGGAGTCTTGTGAGGTGAGATAGTAAAAATAAAGACATCTTGGAGCAGATCAGTAGTAACCTCTCTTTATAACAACCATGCAGCAATAAATGTCTGCCCTTTATTTGCTCTACCTTGAGTTTCACCAGCTTAATTCCTCTCTCTGAGCAGCAGTCATAAAACTATTTTAACAAAGAATATTACCATATTGCTTAAAAAAAAAAAAAAAGTATTGGAATGAGTTTGCTTCCCCACTTACAATTGAAACTCCGCTTTATATCCCTTAATGAAGTAGCTCTTGCTTCAGTGAGTCATTTTACCATACTACTTCTTATTCAATATCAAATACTGTGCTCATAAACACAAAAGCTGCCTATTTTGATTTATTTTTACCCATTATTTCAGCCTTTTGATCCTCAGACACTCCAGGAACAAGAAGATCCATAAGCTGGTTTGTAGTTGAGCAGTAATGCTAATACTGCTCCTTTTCAGCTGTTACACAAATCCCAGAGGTCTCCTGATAAGCTGAACTGGTCCATGGCCTCATCTAGCTCCTACTGAACCAACTTTTCACTGAGCTCAGCAGGAGTGGGACTGGAGCTTAATTGGATATTGGGAAGGTAAATTGGGATTGATTTCGGTTGTAGCTTATAACATGCTTTTTCAGCATAACATGCTTTTTCATCATAAAATGAAGGCAAAAGTGAAATGAATACTGACACTTCTGTGAATTTTGACCCCAGGTCTTTTGTTTTGGTCAACAACTTTTCTCATGCCTAGCTTAAGATTAGCCTTAGTTTATATATTTATAAAAACGGAGGGTCTGTTACTCAGTAATTGGTGGTAGGTTATGACCTCTTCTTTTGCCATGGTTTCCTGCTTGAGTTGAGAGTACCTGAAGTTTTCTTTACATTTCTATTCACTAACTGCCCAACAAATGAAATTCATTCTGGTGGATTACTGTTGTTTTTGGTCTGTTACACATTGGGATACATTCTGCGCTGGATAAATGCACACAGCCTTTCCTACTCTCTAAACTCACTGACACATTAACAGAATGAGAAGGGTTTATTGTGTAGGTTTGTAGCAGCAAGGCTACAAGCAAGCTGCATAATACACAATCCGTACTGGTCTTAGAATATGCTATTATGTCTCATAAGCTGTATTGCCAGTGAATAGAGAGGAAAATTGCCCAATGGAAAGCACCTGCACAAGTCCCCCTTTCTGCAATGATGGTTTTACGTAGCACAAAAGTGTAAGACTTCAACTTAAATTATATGGCATGCAGGAGAAATGCTGTGAATAGCTGTATAAATCCATCCCAGGATTTGGGAAGATACCTTATCTAAAAAGGCTTTGCGGCAAATATTGTTTCCTAAGTTATATACAACTGCTGAATGAGTTAAATACAAAGGATAATGCTGTGTATAGCTTCTCAAATCCAAAGCACTTAGTATTCTTCACTCAGGCAGAGAGAAATTTTAATAGTTATCCTTAAGTGGCTGTTGGAGGTACTGACTTAAAGCAGAAAAAGATGTTCCTTTTTGGAAGATATCTCCCTGTTTTGTTTATTTTATGGCTATAGCCATAATTATAGTATTTTTCACCAAACCTTATTACACATTTCAACAAATCTCCTCCCTTTTAAGTCTGACAGTGTTAATAAAAAGGCACCAGTTGTGGCAGTTCTGCTTGTCCATTGTCTGAGCCTTGAACACCAGAAGGAAAACTTGATGCCAGTTAACCACAGGAGCTGAAAATTCAGCGAGTAAATACAGTCATTGTACTGAAGCAAGATGACTTGAAATTCAGTCCACAAAGCAGGTTGTTGCCCTCTTTTGTGGCTGACTGAGGAAACTTATTATTTTCTTCCTGTGTCTCCAGCATTGACTATTAGAAAGGAAATTGCTAACAGCCTTTTAGGTAACTGTCAGTAGGAGGAGTTGCCAAACTGTTTTTGCTTCTCTCCCCGTTTTGTGCATTAGGTTTATGTCAATGGAGAATGGGTCACCAGCATTGGAGAAGGAGGCAGCTTTGGGGAACTCGCCCTGATTTATGGAACACCCAGGGCTGCTACAGTCAAGGCCAAGACAGATCTCAAACTTTGGGGCATCGACAGAGACAGCTACAGACGCATTTTAATGGTAAGTGTATGGAGAATGACTTGCTTGGAGAACTGGCATTTTCTAGTTTCTTTCATAGTGCCAGAACTGTGCATCAAACTTCTAGCCTGTGTCCAAATGACATTGATGATAAAAAGCTCTGCAGTCTGTGTTTCTAAATAAATAGAGAGTACTTGACCATAACATTCTGAAATTGTGCTAAATAAAGTAAAGTAGAAGGTGATAAGATACAGTAGAAAGGTGCCAAAGCACCTTGAGTAACAATAATTATTATTTATCAATAAGAGAAGTATGAAAATTTCAGGAGGCCTCCATGACCCATTAGAGCTAATGCACATGCTCTCCTTACTGAGAATTTCTGAACTCAGCACTACTCCTGCCTCTGTGATCTTTGTATTGGTGCTGTGAGCTCTTCTGGGCAGGTGATACCAGGGAAATTGTGGCCTGCTAAAATAAGTCTCAGTGGGACTATACATGCCATCTCTTGCTGGGGAGCATGAATCTAAGAGGATGCAGAGAGAGCTGCACAGAAGTTTTGCTAACAACTCACAGCTCCATTCCTTTCCAATACCTCAACCTCTGCAGTAAAGCCTGACAGACCCTCTGGGCATCTGCAGTGTGTGCTAGGCTATGGATTTGCTGTCAGTTCTTGAGTAGTGGGTTTATAATGGAAGCTTTGGCAGATAATTAACTTTAGCAATGTCTTAACTCTTTTTTTAAAATTTTTTACGACTGCTTGTTTCTGATGTCATTGTGCATATCTTTTCCTTCTCCATAAAGTATTTCTTTCTTCTTGATAATTTACAGACAGATAGCTTTATTTAAAGTTTCTTTCTCAGTAGGAGTTGACTCTGAAAGCTGCATTGTTTCATTCAGACCTGAAGGAAACGATATTATTTTTCAGCATAGTGAGGGAATGTGTGTTTTGAGATTGTACATAGATTCACTGATATCATGGAAAATAGAAAAAATAGCAAAAAGTTTGAGTAGATTTAATATTTGAATAATTAGTTTTTATGTGACAGCACGTAAATATTATATATGTAAATACATAATAATAATTTGTTATATTGTTGATTGATTTATACTCTCTGGTGACTGTTGGATGTCTGCTTCTGTTTTTCACTCTGTATTTCATAGACAGAGTTCTCTGAGTTCTCTGTTTCAAAAATGAATATCACGCTGAGTCTAGGAGAGCATGTCTGATGGAAATATCCTTTATCCTGGAAGATTCAGTATAATAATGAGAAGCAGGATGTTTTCTTTTTCATGTTTAAGCAGGATGAACAGTTTCTGAATGCTTCCCAGTGAAGGGAAAGCAAGTATTAGTAATTGAAATGTTTCTGTAAGATACTTCCAACTCATGAGGCAGGAGAATTTCCCAGCAGATTTATGAAGCTCACATTGCTCCTTAGTCCCACGTTCTACATGGAGACGAGGGAGAAGAGTTTAGGATAACTGGTGCGATCAAACTACATACTGCAAGGAAGACTCAAGGGTATAAAGAAGGAATGCAGGAGGGAAATAAATGTCAGGACAAGTCACGTATTTATTGGCTTTTTAAGAATAGCTTCTTATGGCTGCCTTTAATCTTGCTTCTAAAGAATAGAAGGGACAGATTCACAGTCCTTCTAGCCTTGAGGTAATTTTGCTTTCAGCACTGATGAAATTAGTGGTACCTAGCATCATTCAAGCTTGTGAGCTGTTTGGGTTTGGTCATGCATCCATCATCATCTAATCGCAGCCTTCAGAAGATGAGTATTTAGTGAAGAGACAGGATTTGACTATAAGGGCCTAGAATCTCAAGTTGGAAAGGCTGTTCTTTTTAATACTAGCTTTATCCACGTGTACAAATTGAATATAATGTATTGTATTTTTTGAGTCAATAAAAATTGATGAAATGCACTACACTAAAACTGCATTTCACTAGGTACCTACTCAATGTAATTTTACTATTCCCAGTACTTGGATAGGAAATATTGCAGGTAGCATGGGAAGTTAGCTGCTTCAAGTACAGAAATGTTCCGTTTTGTCCATTGTGGCTGTGATTTACTCATCCAAATGATGCTGATTCTGTCATCCTTTTATGTATTTGTAGAAGTGCAGTGTGAGCAGTCCCTTGGCTTTAAGTGAAATGAGACCCCCAGCTCTGTGCATGTATATGAGAGCAGGTTACAGTTACTCTGCACCCTCTGGCAAGCCCAGGAGTTAGTTATGTTTTAGGGACTGTGTTTCATACTTGAAAGTATCTCTAACATTACGTGACTGGTTTTGCTTTATGCAAACCTTATGCTTCCAGAAAGCTGCTGGATATTTTGGATGTAGGAATACTTCCGCCTTGAAATGAGAGGTAGTGCTTTTTAGGATATCTTTTGAAATATATCATTAAGATGATTTTAAAACTGAGAGGGAGCAGGGCTTTTTTGATTTCCTGTTTGCAAATATTTTTATCCAAGGGATCAATGACATTTTTCTCCAAAGATATGTTTTCTTTCTTTAGCAAGATTAAGCTGCTCCATAACCAGTGGTTGGATTTTCTTTTGTCTGCATTCCTTCCTGGCCATGACCAGCTCCATATTTTCGCAGCCTAGTGTTGAAATTTTATTCAAGTTGTAACTATTTCTTAGCAAATGATATCTTCAGATCCAGAGTTGCCAAAAAGATTTTATCCTGTCATTAGGCACTTGACTCTGTACCTCATTTCTCCTTCTCATTTCAAAGTTCTTTACTTTACATTTAGTCAGTTCAAGCATTTAATTCTGCCTCATGCCTTTTTCTCTGCCTGCATGTTTTGTTGTGCCATACATGTCATACCACCTGGTTTATTATGGTATGAATAAAATGTATTTCAGAAGGCTTGGGAATTTGGGTCTTCCCTTTCTTGGATGGACAAAGCTTCATGCAAAAAGATCCTGCTGGCTTTTAGTTACACTTGTCATCCATTTATTACTTTAGCCTGTCTCAAAAGAAGTTTGTTAAAACAGATTTATTTCTTCATGTCTCATTGTCTCTGCTTAGCTACACTAATGACTTGAGGGTGATACTCAAGTTTGTTTTAGCAGCTGTAATGATTGTGAACATTGGGCTCGTTCTTTTTGTTAAGATTTGCAGAGAAAATGCATGGAATTGTTGCACTAGATGCAATAAAAAAGCCACTACAATTCCTTCAACATGTTCCCCCCTCAGTATACTCACAAATTATCTAACCACATGTGTGCTATTTGTCTCATAGAATTCTCTGTCCTGTGTTGCATGTTTCTTGCTATTGCAATGTTTTTTGTTGTGTGTATATGTGCGTACACAAACACAAACACTTATATATGTACGTATGTTGTATTTATTTCCTTACAGTCTCCTGAGTGAGATGAGAAGGGGATTCTGTCATAGGATTCTCATGTAGTTCAGTTGTTAAAAATGTTGCTCTGTCTCCAGTGCAACTGGGATTCAAGAGCATCGCGGAGCGGGGAACATCCCAGGGTAGTACAATATTTGTATTCTAAATATAGCAAATACCACAAATACCAGAGAAGCAAATGTCTGTATCCCAACATCAAATCGATCCCCCAGACAGTTCAGTTCCCAGACTGAGGAAATTTGATGTATTAATTTCTCGTAATTTCTTCTGTAAGAAGGCCTGATTCAGGACAATTTTGCTACCATCTAGTTCCACGGTCCAAGATACCTGGCCTAAAAGGGTAGCTGCACATTAGATACAGACTTTTTGACTGTATGACATCGAGCATTAGCAGTTTTGTCACGTTTACCTTCCCACCTTTGATAGGATTTACACAGCTATGACTTCTCTTCCAGGACCTTAACTGATGTGCTCAGTATGAAGCACAACAGGCCAGCTTTGCTCTTAACAAGTCGATTGTATTATTGGATATAAATAATAACTAATCTAGATTAGTCACTCCCTACTGTTATGTCTGATTTTCTTTATACTATTTTGGCTTTTTTTTTTTTTTTTTTTTGGTTTCTTTTCCCAGCTATGAATGGGAGAACAGGTTCTTTAACAAGTGCTTTTCACCACGCAAGCAAGTGAAGGACTTCATGCTTCCATAGATCATAGATTGCTTGGTAGCCAAAACTCAAAGCAAATCTGCATTCCGACTCACATCTGCGCAATATAGCACCGGGGTCTTGCAGGGAATTTTGTTTTCATGGGACCAGTACACATTGTTTGAGTGACTCTCTTCTTTTTCATGCTCCCGTAAGAATGTACATACAAGGCATCATTCAATATCGGGTTTACCCAGGGATTAAAGGGAGCTGGAGCCGTCCAGAAGGCCTTTCCGGCGCTTCCTGCCAGCTGCATACCTGCCAGCATAACTCTTTTATTTGAAACTTGAGCCAGGCTTTGCCTTTCGGTGGCCATTTGTTTGGCTTCTTAGCAAAGGCGGGGATTTCTAGGAAAGACCCGATCTACTTGGGCAGCCCATCTGGACAGCCAAAAAAAGGGAGCGGGAAAGAAGACAGTAGGAGGGTTGGAGGGGCAGAGCAAAGGGAAGAGAGACCAGACTGGAGGAGTGGGAAGAAAGAGTGGAAGGAAATGGAGGAAATGAGCAAGGAACAGTTGGAAGATGGATGCACTCTTCTAAACTCTCAGAAAAAAAGAAAGATTCAGCAAGACCTGATATAAGCTCAGTGACATTCAGATTTCACAGCCTTTACTTAAGCTAAGTTTAGGGCTTGCCACATTTTAAGTGCTTCTAAAAAATGACTTTTCTGGGTGGATTTGGCAAACAAATGGCTTAGCCTTTTGAGGAGGAGCATTGTGGTTCAGGATTTAATGACTTCTCATGTTAATGACTATTCATTGTTAATTGGAACCACTATCTTTAAGAAGATGAGCTGGTGCATGACAGCTCAGAATTGGCAAGAAGGTGAACAAAGGCAGCTGGGAAGAGGAGAAGCAGAGACAATTGAAATAAGGAGATATTAATAGGTTACAAAAAGCAGAAATAATAAAGACTTTTTAGAACATGCCATCAAGAGCCCTGCCAATGCAAAATTATTCTTGTACATTTACTATTGTTTTTATATGGTTCAAGCAGCAAGATTTCTATTGCTTCCCTTGGGGAACTTCTTCAAGAGAACAAATCTGAAGTTGAGAAAACTTTTTTGATGTTCATCTTAAATTGCATGTTCTTAAATTTCCCCTTATACTCTGATTATTACTCTAACTATACCCTTATATTTATGTCAGGTTATGCTATACTAAGTTATCCTTTCCTTCTGTCGTATATCTTAAGTGATTATCACTGTCTTCTTAAAGCGTTCACCACCAATCACACTAGCTATGAACATGCCATATGTAGCATCCCAGTGCTGAGCTATATTCTGTAATTGGAAATTGCTTTGCTCCTTCCTTAGCAGCTCTCCCAAACTCTTTGAGCAGATCTTCAGGCTCTGTGCAGTTTTGGAGCATTTTTCTGGAAATGAGTTACCCAAGCAGAGAGGTCAAAGCCATGGCCATGGCCATGGAGATGAGGCCTCTGATCTTCACTCTCTGGTGATGTCTTTCAGGATACAGATCAAATTTTGCTGGCTATATTCTATATGCAGCAGGATGTGCTGTAGGTTTCACCTACGGCCTGCAAATCTCTTCAGCTTTGCAACTTTCCAGTGTTCCTTTCATTAAATATCTATGCTTCGGTATTTTGGGTTTCTTTTTCCCCTTTATGTCTCTTAGCTGTATTTTCCAAACAGAAGCTCGTTTTGTTATTTTCTGCTTCCACTTCTAATGTCTCTAGATCCTTTTTTGTTATTTTCCTGTCCTGGAAAACTTCCCTAGTATCTCCCAGTCTGCAGATTTCATTACTGTCTGATGTGTTGCGGCCTCCAGACAATTCATGAAGATATTATGTAAGATCAGACCTAACACGTGTCCCACTGAGCGTGCTGGTTGGCCCTTCTGTGGAAATGACTTGAAGGGCAGTACAGGAGACTGTGATACCCTTTGTACTTGTTGCCTCTACCATTTGGGTGAGGTGCATAGACCTAACAAGGAGGCAATAAAGAGTGAATCAGGGCTTTGGAGTCCAAGGTGACATCAAACATACAGGAGGGGGTATTAGGCTGCTCAAAATGTGCTCTCTCCCTGTGTTTCATGTGGAGACAAGGTCATTAATGCTGCTGGAAATAAAAACATGCTTAGGTTGTTTGTGAGCTTTCTGCTGAGTTTTTTAGCTTGTATTAGAGCAGAGTTCTTTCGAAATGGCTTCTCCATGTGATAGTGATAGCAGGAAAATGCACTAAGATGAGAACAAAGCAATGCTGTGGGCCTCATAAGTGTGGGAGGGTGATCCAAACGCTTCCTTTTTGGGGAAAAAGAATGGGATCCAGTGGGATCCAGTTGTGCCAGAGGGGTATACCAAGTGGAGTCCCAACCATAGCTAAGGTTCTAGGTGCTACCACAATGCATTTAGTGCTAACAACACATTTAATTGATCCTTCCAACTTAAGCTTAGCCTGTGTGCTGGTCTCGGCCGTGAATTCTGGAGCCCGGCACTGACCTTGTGCAGCCGGGGGCTAAGGCACAACTGTTGTCCTACGGGAAGTGCCGCTCTCCAGCTCTCGGGGCCAGCCGGGATTCCAACCTTCCCGGCTCTCGCCTGCTTCTCTAAATACTCCAAGCTGTGGTCAGGCCACACTTACGGCAGCTGATTACTGCTTCTTAAAATTCATCTGTGTCCACAGTCATTTCAAAAGCATTTTCCACATCTGTCCCTGGATGTCCCAGCCCACCAAACTAAACCACCACTCTGGTTTTCCACAGCTCTCAATTTGGCCAGTCTGGTTCCCACCTCGGGATGCAGGGAGGGGAGCAGCGGCGGCGCCGGGCCCACGTTTCCATCCCTTGTCTCCGGGGGAGCTGTCAGGATTTGGCGCGGCGCGCGGAGCCTCCTCCGTTTGAAGTTCATTTTTCCTTTCTGGCGTTTCAAATGCTCCCAGGGCCTCCGAGGTGGAGAGGCCGGTTTGTCAGACGGCGAGGTCAGGCGGGGGTGAGCGATGCTATCGCTGCGAGGAGAGGTGTCCCCGCCGCGCGGGATTGCCGAGGGGGAGCGGAGGCAGCCGGGACCCGCGGCGCCTTCGGGGGCTGTTTGGGAGCAGAGAGAGCAAAACGGTGGCAGTGCCCACAGGAGAGCCCCTTGCAGCCTCTGCTGGTGCTGCTGAATTTGGTGCATAGAGCCCCGTTTCTTTGGTGGTCACTGGGTGAGGCCCCACCTGACGAGCGCACATGGGAAGAGGGACATTGTTTGCCTCTTCTGTCCCTGCACCTGGATGCAATGGCCTTTCCCATTTTTGTAATCCCAACCTGGATGCGGTGGCCTTTTCTGCTTCTATACTTCCAGCCTTCCCTGCCTGGGCCACATGCATTTTCTCCTTCCCCTCATTATGTCCCTCCGTCCTGTCTCTGCCGCAGGCACTTAACATTCACTTGGGAAAGGAGGAAGAGAGAAGCACTTTTTTTTTTCCTATAGCAAGCACTAACATTTGCTTATGTCTTGTCTGCCTGGGCTATGAGTAAACGTCATCCTCATTCCTCTTTTCTTCAGAAGATGGATGTTTCGTCGTTCAGCCACACTCCCACTTTGCAAACGTGACTAGCAGGCGCCGGGCGACCTTGGGCAGGGTCTCCGCAGGCAGAAATGCCGCGGGCTGCCACGTCCCCCCGTGGCATGAACCCCGTGGGAGCAGCAGGGACCCCGGGAATCCCTCTTTGGAGCCCCAAGGAGGTTAGGGATCAATTATTTAGCAATTGGTAAATTCATCACTAAATCTCCCTGAAAGCCTCCTCTTGAGGATGTCTTTCTGTAGACATCAAACACAATGCAAGCGTACGACGTATGTCCTCTCACGTGTATATTGCTCAAAAGGGCTTCCTAGACTAGGAGCATCGTTACATGTTGGTGGATTGTTTGCTCCAAATTGCTTAAATCTTGTTAAAATAATAATACAGATGGGTTGCTTAGCAGTAACAATACATACATAAATAAACATTTGCACGCACACAAACATTCTTAGCATTAAGGGGATTTAAATCTAAAGGAATGGGATCCATGAGGGGCACTTTGTAATGGTAAATTCCCTTCTGGTAGGGCCTCAATGGTAACAGAATATATATTGAATTAGCTAAACAGTTAATTGATGAAGCTCTGGCTTAGAAATGAGTGTCTGTAAATAATGGGCCCAATTCATCCTTGGTGTCCAGTAACACCGGTGAAGTCAGTGAAATTGCACCGGGATTGAATTTGATTCCCTCTGCCGCTGCTTATCACAAATACAACTTGCCCAGACATTTTATGGGGAAACATTTGCCTTAGGCTGTTTATTCTGGCTATGCTCAAGATCAGGAAGGGGAGGGGGAAAAAAAGAGAGCAGCTGTAGGAACAAATCACAAAAATACTTTGCGTAATGTTCTACCTTCTTTCTCTCTCTCCTTTAATAACAGGGCAGCACACTGAGGAAGCGGAAAATGTATGAAGAATTCCTGAGCAAGGTCTCCATTCTAGGTCAGTTGCCCTTTGGACTTACGTGTTAGTTCCTCTGTCATACATGTTGGCTGGATGATTTTTGGCCTTTGATGGGGTGATGAAAGCAGCAGTGGTCAAACAGGAGATCTCACAGTTGTATCATTTGCTAAGGAAGGAGAGCATGAAGGGTCCTTTTGGGGGGCTTGTTTTTCCTCTTCCTCAACTTGGAATGTACCTTTATTTAAAGGGCAGTTTTTTCCTAAAGTATCTAAGCAGGCATGCACAAGTATGCAGGTATGCAGTAACTGGCTGATGCTGAGCAAAAATCATGTATGGGTAGAATAGAATAGAATATGGTGATATGAATATGTCACAAAATCCAGTTACATCCTCCCAGGTGACAGTGAGAAGCTTTTTCCTGCAAGAATACTGTATTTATGTGTGTTAAACAAACTAACTCTACAAATCAAAATGGACTGTTTTTTTTTCTCCTGTGTCTTTTACAGCCCTGTCTCATATTCTTAAAACATCTGTTTAGCTTCTTGTCCTTAGATTTTGTTTCCCTTTGATTAATGTGATAGCCACAAAATCTGGACATGTTCTTGATGGCCTTCAGTAGGAAAAACAACAAACCCATAATGCCTTACCAATCAATCACCATTAGGAGAACAAAAACTTCTAATAAGGAGGACCGTGTTAGCCAGTACAATTAAATGTTGATTCTGTAGGAAACACATCATGTTTCTGCTTGGGCTATTTGTTAAGGATTAATTTGCTACATAATTAAGTTTTTATATTTCTATTTCAAACATTTTTTTTAGAATTTTTCTAGCATTTGAGCTTATGTGCCTCAAATATAAAAACGAGGGAGCCTTAGTGAAAATGTACTTGACCTTCTGAGAAAAGATGTGCATGAAATTTTCAATTAGATTTGTATGCTAAAAGTAAGGTCAAGTATGTTGCTCATTTAATAATGATTTTTTCATCATTTGAATGCTGTCTTTTAGGCTCAATTTAAATCTTCCTAAACTAAGAGCACAAATTATACCAAATTACAACGAGTATTTAAAGAAAAAAAGGATCTGTGCACCTGCTCTAATAAGAAGCAATTACAACAATGAGACATCTCAAAACAATTTCGGAGTAGAAAGGTTATTCAGAGATGAGCTTCCTTAAACATGTGGTTTGCAACGTAATTATATCCCAGTTTATAGTGTGGGTTTTCATCTCAGTAAAAACTGAATAAAGACTTCAGGTTTGAGCCTTTTTTAAATGCAGAAAACAATAGAATGCATCATTTCAGGGACACTGAGAATTTAGGTGGAATGTTTAAAGATCTATTTCACATAACTTAATAGTAGATTACAGATGGCTAAATGAAAGATATTTTAGAGATATCAATGCCATACTGAGAAATTAGCTTAATTTCATACCATAATGTGGTCAAAACTTGGTGATTTTTGATGAATAAACCTCTACCTGTTTCTTATATATTTTTTCTTAGACCTGCTGAAAGTCTGTAATTAGCTATAAAATTGTAAGAATGATATTTTTAAAAGTAAGGATTTTTTTTGGATTTCAGTAGCTGCTTACAGTGTATCTAACAAGATATGAAAAAAAAAAATCTTTAAAATCTTTGGTGTATAGTTAAATGTAAAGTTGTGAATCAATATGTGCAATCCAAAAATTACAAAAATTGCATAGGATCTACTTTATTTGAAGTTTGATATTAATTCTGCAACTAAAACTTTCAAGAATTTTATCATCTTCTTACTAATGCTTTGTTTGCAAGGACTATTAACCAATATATTTGAGGTGGTACCATTCCTATAGACAAGAGAGACACTTCATGACTAGTGCAAGAATTAGCTTAGCATTTTTCACAAAGCCAGCTGAAGAAGTTAAAGAAACTCTTTCTTTTCATTGTTAGTTACCAGGTTATTTTTTAAAGTCTGTTCTTGTCTTTATAGAAGTTGTATGCATATTTTTAGACAAAAAGTGCACTTTTTTGAATGTTGCATTTATAATATTTTTCTTACGGAGTTGGTACTTGATATAAAAGTTCCTGCAACAAAGACCACAGATGTACCAGGAAAGTGCATTAGTGACTTCAGGTGAGAAAGTATTAGAAAAATTATTTTTCAGAAAGCAACAGAAAATGGCATAAGAATAGGAAGATGTATTTGTGTCACGCAACTTCCCTTTAGGACATTGATCACTTTGATCTGGTTTTGTTAGATCCAGTGCACACTTCAGAGTTCAGCCAAAAGCCATTTTAAATTTTAAATAACAATCCTTTCACCTCCTTACAATGCTTCTAAGCACTGTTTTGGAACAAGAAGAGAAAAACTGAGTTGAAGAGAACAGGCCAAATGCAGTCCTGGGGTCAGCAGTCTCTTGACCTACAGTTGCTCAGTAGTTCCTAATATGATAAGTTGGATTCTGCAGAGCACTACATGAATTTTTAGTCCAACTTCTTAGGGCAGAATGGCACAAGGCAGTGTCATTGTGTTATCTGTTTCTGCTAGTAACTCCTAAAGCATTTGCTTCATTGAGTCTAATCTCATAAAAGGAGAGAAGTTTTGCAACACTTTCTGTCTAAATGGAGAATAAAAACAGCTCTTGCACTTGGTGTGCAGTTCTGTGGGTCTAAATTATGAATGAAACAGAGGTACCACTTCATAAAGCCATGTTTAAGATGTTAAGACTTTGGTCCAATTGCCTTCAGCGCTGAGTGATTTCAACTTTTGACTAAAGAGTTTTCTTGCAATGGGAACCTCTCTGCTGCATGTTGAACAGGCTGAGAATAACTGACAAAAACAGAATAGGCCTTTTTCTGACAGCGGGTGTGGGATGTGGTGAGAGGTGTCCCTCTCAGGGCTCCCTCATTACCAATATATTTTTTATATATATGCATATATATAAAATATATGTATACAGCTTCTAGGCTGCTCTAACTCACTGCAGCATTAGGTCATGAGAGATCACAGAGTTAGGAAACTGTAGCCAACTTTTCCTGTCCAAAGATTACAAGTTCTAAGACAGAATGAATAAATACACCCATCTTTCGCAACTGGCGGTTCGTGCAAAATGCTCAGATGAAAGAAATGTTTCTTTTATGACAGAACCAGGCATATCAGAGCTGTCAGCTTAATTTTGAATCTTCAGCCAAAGCTAGGGTCTTTTTATAATAATGTTTTATGATCTTCAACATTTTAGAGTCCCTGGACAAATGGGAGCGTCTGACAGTGGCTGATGCACTGGAACCTGTCCAGTTTGAAGATGGAGAAAAAATCGTGGTGCAGGGAGAGCCTGGTGATGACTTTTTCATTATTACAGAGGTAAGCATAGCTTCATGGTAAACCACATCTTTTCCTGGTAAAAATCAAGGGTTTGTATTAATATAATTTTGCCTCTGTTTAATTTTTTTCATCTCACAATAAATATGTCCTAATTCACTCAAGTAAAGACAATTACTCAAAATTCAAATGAAGTCAGACCCCAGTCCTATGGAAGCATATGAAGTAAGTGGGATAATGCCTGATTTCCAGGATATTTGAAAACATTCAGGAAGTTCAAAGTGTGTCTCATCTATCTGCTGTGTGAAGGTTTGTTTTCTCCCTGAGATATTTTTGCTCCAAATAGCCAATATGTTTAACGAGGCTGGCCAGCCACGCAATGCATTGATCATTGTTCCCAAAGGCACTTACAGGGAACATCACAAGTGAACACTTGTAGACTGTAGCAGGAGACCTGGTCTAAAAATGGGTCGTTTGTTCCTTTGTTTGGCCTTAAACTCAGTCCAAATGACTGCGCCATATTCTTGTTTACTCTCACACAGGCAGACAGATCTGTCAGGCAGTTGAATATAATGACATCTTTTAGGAGATTATTTGATACTTCAGTTCCACCATTTCACTTCTGCAAACAGATGCTGATGGGTTTTTTCCTCCCTCTTCTGATATAAATATTTGAATCCTCCACATCTTACACAAATACATACACACAATGATATAACAAGTTATAAAAAGGGCTGAGAGTAGGAATAACAAGGGGGCATTAGTGTATAATTATATCTATACATATTGAATTAAGAGTTTATGGTTTTCAATACCAGCTCTGAGTGTTCATACACAAATATAAGGTCTGTGAGTGCTCACCATATGGCTTTTGAGCTGTGCACCGTGACAGTTCAAGTGCATATCCCAACCCACACATTGCATGACCAGCAACAAGGTAATGGTGGCTCAAGGGCTATTAGATAAACTGAATCCCTCACTGAGGGACCAAGTGGATCAGATCAATGTTGGGAAACAGTTGTACATAAGTGTGGATGTATTTAGAATACTTCTTGTGGTTCCAAGCCGTGACCAAAGTGTGCCCCATAAAAACAATACATAGGGCTTGTACTAAACCCATTCCAAGTGGCTGACAGGCCAACAGGTTTTTTTCCTTTGCTTTCTCTTTATCTGTAATTTTTTTGGACAGGCGCCTCTCTCTAAGGCAGCCAGAATTTGGTTCATAATCAATATCTGACACTTAAAATTCCATTCTTTTTTTCCTCCTTGAGTGTTGGATCCTGGCACTGAAATACATATTTGATATATGAACATAGTTTCTCTTCTGATGCTCACAGGATTGTCAGTGGAAAGAACCGCACCTGCCTATCACACAGTTAGACACTTACAGAACTTAAAATATGTGACGGGCAGGACCCTTAAAAACTATTTTATAAGTTTGAAAAACAGACTAGATATTAAGTATGGAGTTTTAGTATATAAGAAGAATTTAGAAAATATAACTTTTCTTTAGATAGAAAGAATTACTAAAAGTCCCGTTACTCCTTGCAGCAGCTCAAGACTACAGACAAAAAATAGATTTTCTTAGCCATCAAATCCCATGTGGAAAATTGGCAGCTTGCTTAAGAATAACCAACGGCCTTCATTTTCCCTCTTTTGAAGGAACAGCTGTTAGGACTTGAGTGGGTAGAAAAGTATTAACACTGCATACTGTGTAATTAGGAAGAATCTGCCCACCTCACCTTTCCACTAGAAGTCTAGCATAATTTCTCGCTTTGGAAATTGCCTATGTTCTTCTGCATCAAAGAACGAACATCCACTATGAACTCATTTTTTTTTTTTATGCAGCAGTAGTATTTATGCCTGCTCACACATAGTTCAAGGTTTGTGTTTTAAACCGAATTTCACAGGAGTTTGCATCTTTGATGTTAAATTTTTCTTCAGGAGAGGTGATATGAGCAGCCAGGAACATATTATTTCGCAAATCCTGGTTGAAAGTAGTTTTGGCTGGTTTGTTGTCACAATATGTTGAAAAGTCATTCGCTTCTTTCATATATTTTTTGATGTTGGTGGCCTTATAATCCAAAACACTGTACAAATGTTGCCAGTTTATTTGGCTGCTATATACACAGAAACTATTTCATGTAGTACCAGAACACTATGTCCAAGAGTACAGAACTAAACTTTACAGCAGAATTTTTGGACAAGATGCTGATTTATTATAAAGGATATTTATTTATGACATGCCTTAGAAAAATCAGTTATCAACTTAAACAGCTTTGGTGCACCCGAAGGCATCATGAGCATCACAAATGCTGGTTCCAAGTGGGGTCTTGTGAGCCCTATTAAAAAATAGTTCTCTAAGACTCAAAGGACTCACACATGGTTTGAAAATTGTTAGCACAGTTTAACATGTGTTAGCACACTTGTTAAATGAATTGCCCATTCTTGGTTAGCCTGCAGTACTGCCTTCCTCTGTATGCCTGCTTTTGGGGTGCTTTCTTGGTATATTGGTCCTGCAGAAGGATGTAGTGCCATCACTGTATTGCCAGCCTCAGGAACTGCAAACTAAAGTGCAAGCATTAAGCTCCTTGGAAAGGGAGAGCTTGAACAAGGATATTTACAATTAGGTTGCTTGAGCAATATATAATCTCAATTTCTGTCAAGCACCTTCACCTTTTCCCATTTCTTCCCAGGATAAACTATTTTTCTTGACATTTCTCTCCTGCCTCCAGTGTTGCACAGATTGTAATAGGGTGCAGGTTATTAGAGATGCAGACTCTCTGCATGAAACTACCCCAGTACCCTTGGAGAGAACTGAGCATGAGCTCAGCCAAATTATTAGAATAACAGAAAATGTGCACAGGGAAGAGCCACAGGAAACCTGGCTTTGGAAGTTCCACTGCTCACCAAGCTGTGTGTGGTTTATTTTCTGTTAAAAATATAGTGACAAAAATATATCCCTGAGATTCTAGAACAGCTGCAGTTTTTCTGCCATCCTAAATCTTCACAGCCACCACCAAGATGTTTGTTTGCAATAGGTTGTGGCTTCATTTTTCATGATGATTTAGTTTTAGTATTTAAAGCCTGTTTTTTTTTTCCCAGAGATACAATTATTTTAATGTTTATACCACATTTTTTAATTTGCATATAGGATCCAAAGCGCATGTGTCCTTGAAAAAAACAAAATAACCACTTTTGTGAAGTTGATTTGATATACTTCAAACTGTTAATTAAAAGAGAAGAAAGAAGTAACCCTGCAGTTTCTGTATTTTCAGATATTTCCAGGTCTTATTTTCCCACTACACTTTTCACACAACAAGCTCAGGCTTTCCCAGACTAGACAGATGTGGAATGTATCTGTTGGATTCCAAGGTCATGGAATTATCCCATATGAGATTCCTGGCACAGAGGTGAAAAACTCTAAGCACCATGAAACAATTGTTGCCACAAAGAATTATATTTTGGCAAGCGTAAATCATAACAGATGTACAGTTTCTAACAAATAAATTTGCAGTTGTATTGTACTCTGCCACACTGTGTACCCAACAGTAGGGAGGATTTATTCATCTGACTTCAGATAAAGCAAATATTTTTAGCTAGCATTTTAAAGCGATAGCTTGCAAAGGCATGCAGGCTTTGCAGACTTAAATATCCTAGAAAATGTTAAGTCCTTTCAACTGAAATGTTGTTTGAACAGGGGCTGTTTCTATTCCCAACTCGTTTAGTAAGTGCTTTGCCACTGACTTCAGTTTGAACAGTAGTCCAACTAGTATAACAGTGCTGTGAAACTGGGAAGAGCTGAGTTTTTTGCTGTCGTCTAGGTTACTGAAAAAGGTAGCAACAATAGTATTAAAAATAGAGGTTATGCTTATATACCATTCTGTAAATGCAGCTTCAGACTTGGCTCCGTGGCGCCTCGAAGACAGTCCAGCACAGCTGCCAGAAACACGGGATCTGCAGCCGTGAAGCTGCTGGGTTTCTCAGCTCCCGCCCTCGCCCATGTCACATCATTTGGACCTACTTGTCATTGCCGAGCACCATGTAGGGCGCACAGTTATTGTCACGGGATGCTGCTGGATACACTCAGTGAGTCCTTTAATATCAGTGGCACGCTCAGGGCTCGCTGTGCCCGCCTGGGTGCTGAACTGCTGCCATATGGCCCTAATGCTCCTCCGAGTTAGACAGGACATAAGAAAAATGCATGTGTGGACGCATGGACACCAGGGTAGGAGGAGAGAGCAGCAAAAGGTTTGGAGCAGAGTCACATGGTGCCTCTGAGGGCAGTTTATAACAGGCCTTCCAATGTGCCGCCCCTAGCCTTGCATCTCCTCCGAGAACAGCCTGAGTGGCACACAGAGAAGGGAACAAAACTGCTGGAGAAATAAAACATTTCCAATTGATATCTGGTCTGGCTGCCCAGCAAGAACATGCAGCAACCTAAAAATAAAAGGCCTAAAAATAGAAGGTAATTCACAGGAGAAAATTGAAGGCGAAATGGACCTATTGTATCAAGCAGTCTCACATTAGAAAAAGAAAATTAAAAACTTTGAAGTTTTAAATTGTGTAGGTTTGTATTAAAGTGCCTGTATTTTCCTGTATTACCAGACTCACTGCTATTTTGTGGGCATAACACTGCACTCCTTGCAGTGGTGATTCCTTATCAGTGGAAATAATTTTAATGATACTTTATGAAGGTGAGCAAAAGTCTCATTTCAAAATTTATGAAATACCCCATTTTTACCATTTGGGAATGGCAAAATTGGAAAATAACAGAAAATTTCCATTGATGGTGCATCAGTCCTTCAAAAATTAATGTATAGAGCTGCTTGATTGACAGAACTGAATCACATTAATGGGTAACGATCATTTCTGCAGCGCTCTTCTTGGATGATCCCATGCAAACAAGCCTTGTGCTGGCTGGGGGTTATTTCCCACTGCTCTTGATGTTGCATTTCAGGGCTGCAAACTGGCTGTGCCCTGGGCAGGATGCACAGAGAGTAGCTGGGTGTCGCATGTGTACTCGAGATACCGTCCTGCAG